TCTCCTCCGCCATGATTTCCAAGCTTAATATTAAGGTAACACCCCACCCAAATCCCTATAAAGTTGCTTGGATTAACTCAACGACAATTGAAATTAAGGATAGGAGCCTCATCCCTATTACTTTTGCTGGATATCAGGAAAAGATTTGGTGTGACGTTTTGACTATGGATGTTGGCCAGATCATCCTTGGGCGCCCGTGGCTTTTTGACAATGACGTCCACATTTATGGGAGAACAAATACCTGCGTATTTGAACATAACGGTAAAAAGATTAAACTTATTCCCTCCCAACCAAAGAACAGTAAGGATGAAGATAAGCCCACTACCCCTAAAATCGGTAAAGACCCGCACCTTGTGACTGCCAAAGAAATGGATATGGAATTTACCCAAGGATCCCCCATGTACGCACTGGTAGCTAGTGAAGTTAATGATGATCAGGAAGAGCCTGTCCCCGAGGAGATTAAACCTCTTTTGGAAGCTTTCGCTGATGTCTTCCCGGAAGACTTACCCAACCAACTCCCGTCCCTTAGGGACATTCAACACGTAATATACCTATTACCTAGAGCTTCCTTACCAAACCTTCCTCACTACCGCATGAACCCAACTAAACATGCTGAATTGAAGAAACAGGTAGATGAACTCCTGCAATGAGGATTCATCAAAGAGAGCCTTAGCCCATGTGCTGTCCCTGCTAGGGGTGCAAACGAGTCGAGTCGAGCTCAAGTCAAGAGGTGTTCGAGCTCGACTCGCGAGTCAAACACCGAGCTCAAACTCGAGCTTGAGCTCGAGTCGAGCTTAAAAGTCGAGCTCGAACTCGACTCGGGTAACATAAAGGAGCTCATCGAGCTGCTCGTCGAGCCGCTCGATTTTGAATTCCCGCCCAAGCGGTTTAGTCTCCCCGCTCGTTTTTCGGTACACAAGCCAGCCACACGATAAGACATTCATTTTTTTTTTAATAGCTCGTACATAGTTACAGGCTGACAACAAAATACCTAGGGGCACTCGTCTCACAGCTCCCAATAGTCCACCTTGCTTTTTCCTATAGATAAAAGAAAGACCTATTCTGTTTTTTGACAGCAAGAGTATTGGAAATATAATAAAATATTTAATGCTTTGTTTTGGGAACTATTACAACCGTATATGCAGATTTTTTTTCTCTTAAAAACTGAGCGTTATCTTTTTTTAAGATTTAAATAGTTTATCATTTTTTATGATTTACATGTAATAAATAATAAGAATTATTTAATTAAAAATATTAAATTTTATTCGAGCCGGCTCGCGAGCTCACGAGTCGAGCCTCATAAAGCTCAAACTCGACTCGTGAGCTCGATAAGCTCGGCTCGCGAGCCCATAAACGAGTCGAGCTCGAGCCGGCTCACGAGCCGGCTCGGCTCACTTGTACCCCTAGTCCCTGCACTATTAACTCCCAAGAAGGACGGCTCTTGGTGAATGTGTGTCGATAGCCGCGCTATCAACAAGATTACTGTCAAGAATAGATTCCCCATTCCCCGACTGGATGACATGTTAGACATGATGACCGGAGCCACCCTCTTTTCCAAAATTGATCTTAAGAGTGGCTACCATCAGATTAGAATCCGTCTGGGAGATGAATGGAAAACTGCGTTCAAAACGAAAGATGGACTTTACGAGTGGACTGTAATGCCTTTTGGTCTGAGTAACGCTCCAAGTATCTTTATGAGAGTCATGACTCAAGTCCTCAGACCCTTCTTAGGAAGATTTGTAGTAGTTTACTTTGATGACATTTTGATCTATAGCACTTCGGTGGATCAACATCTCAATCGTCTGGCACAGGGGTGTGAAGTTCTGAGGAAAGAACAACTGTTTGCTAATCCTGCCAAATGTAAATTCCTCACCACTAGTGTGACTTTCTTTGGATTTATCATCTCCAATCAAGGGATATTTGCAGACCCAGAAAAGGTGCGAGCTATAAATGAGTGGCCCGAACCCAAGAACATTAGAGATGTTAGGAGTTTTCACGGATTGGCCACATTTTATCGGAGGTTTATTAGAAATTTTAGCACCATCGTAGCACCAATAACGGACTGCCTTAAGAAAGGAGAATTTCATTGGACTATACCCGCAGCTAAGGCATTTGAGGAAATTAAAAAACGAATGATGGAAGCCCTTGTAATGAGATTACCTGATTTTTCTAAAGTTTTCGAGGTAACCTGTGACGCATCAGGGATTGGCATAGGTCGAGTCCTATCACAAGAGGGACACCCAGTCGCTTACTTTAGCGAAAAAACTGAATGACACTAGGCAACGGTACTCTACCTACGACAAGGAGTTTTATGCTATCATTCAATCTCTTAGGTATTGGCGGCACTACCTCTTGCCTTAGGAATTTGTTATCTTCTCGGATCATGAGGCTCTATGATATATTAACTCATAAAAGAAACTCAATGCCCGGCATGGCCGTTAGGTCGAATTCCTCCAAGAATACGCGTACACGATTAGACATAAAGTCGGAGCTGAGAATAAAGCGGTAGATGCTTTGAGCCGTCGGATAATGACCACTAGGGAAATGAGGATGGATGTTGTGGGAATCGAACGTATCAAAGAGGATTATAAGGATTGCCCTGATTTTCATGAGATTTACACTTTGTTGACTCCGGGGCATGACCGAGTCACTGATGATTTCTTAATTGAAGATGGATACTTATTTAAGGCCCAGAAACTCTGTATTCCTAGAACATCCCTTAGAGAGTATCTTGTTTGGGAATTGCACGCTGGTGGATTAGCTGGTCACTTTGGACAAGCTAAGACCATTGCTGCCCTGGAAAACCGATTCTACTGGCCTAGTTTAAAGCGTGATGTTAGTAGACTTCTAAGGAGGTGCCACACCTATCAACTCGCTAAGCAACACAAGCAGAATACGTGACTTTACACCCCACTTCCCGTACCTAATTGTCCATGGCAGGATGTGAGTATAGATTTTGTTCTTGGTTTACCAAAGACTGTGAGAAAGCATGATTCGATTTGTGTAGTTGTCGACCGTTTTTCAAAGATGGCCCATTTCCTCCCATGCTCCAAAACTTTTGATGCCTCCCGAATTGCTAAGCTCTATTTTGATGAGATCGTTAGAATTCATGGATTACCCAAGACCTTCGTTTCCGATAGGGATGTCAAGTTTACAAGCTACTTCTGGAAAACCCTATGGCACAAAATGGGCACAAAACTCCAATTTTTTACAGCCTTCCACCCCCAAACCGATGGGCAAACCGAAGTGGTTAACGGATGTCTAGGAAATCTTCTAAGGACTTTAGTAGGGGAAAACATACGGGATTGGGATTCCAAGCTTCCTATTACTGAATTTTCTTACAACAACTCCGTCAATAGAACCACTGGTCTTAGTCCTGCCGAAATCGTGTACGGATAGTTACCCAGACAACCTATAGATTTACTTCCCATGAGTCCTAGGTTTAGAGTGTCAGAGTCAGCATCTGCATTTGCATCCCACCTACAGGAGTTGCATAAAGAAATTAAAATGAAAATTGAGCAAAGCAACGCCAGCTACAAATTAATTGCTGATCAAAAGAAAAGGCTTAAAGAATTCGAAGTTGGAGACTTTATGATGGTGCGAATCCGTTCAAAGCGTTTTCCTCCCGGATCCGCGAAGAAATTGTATGCGAGAAGCGCCGGACCATTAAAAATCATTTTCAAGATAAACAGTAATGCTTACGTGCTGGACCTCCCCGAAGGTTTTAACATCAATCCTACCTTTAATATAGAAGATTTAGTAGCCTTCGAGGGATCAGAGTTTAACCCCCACAATCCACTTACAAATGAGCCTTGTGTGAACCTACCTGGTGAGATCCCTAGCCTACCTCCACTCCCCAAATTGCCCCACTTACCCAATGCGGAGAAAATACAAGCCATACTGGATGATGAGATCATTTCCACGAAGGAAGGAGGACGCCGAAGGTACTTAGTGCACTGGAAAGGGACCCCACCGACAGAGGACACTTGGATTAACCGAGAGGAGCTACAGATCCTAGACCCATATCTCTTAGAGTTGTACGAGAGCGCCAGATATACTCACTCGACGGGGTCGAGTTTTCTCCCACCTGGGGAGAATGATGAGGTCATCGACAAACATTTTAGGCAGGTCTACCGGCGAAGGAATCGTAGATCGACGACTACGATTAGGAGCTTATATTTCTGATGTTTTCCATGTCATTTCTGATACTTTTCATGTATCTTTTAATTTCATGTTTTTAGTTTACTATTTCGCCCTTATGGATGTTTAGTCTTTGTTGTAGCCCTGTGGGCATTTGAGTCATATTATTTTCTTTTGATGAGACCTATATAAAGAGGTCTTCTACTATTGTATGAGCTTAATGTTTGATTAATAAAATTCTGAGATTTCATTCTTCTTCTTGCTTGAGAGCTTGAGAGAAAGAGAAGAGACCTAGGAGAGGTTCCACCCGAAATACCCAACAGCCCACCTTGGTGAGCTCTTGGCTTTATTTTATTTTGTTTGTTGTTTTCTTCTTCCCCCACCAAACCCCATCCACCTGAACCCGTCAACCACCCGCCGACTCCCCCTCCTCCCTCCTTGCCGCCGGCTGTGCTAGCCCGCCGTCCCCCCCTAGCCCAGCCCCTCTTCCACCTGGAGCAATCCCGCTGGCCCCCCTTCCCTGTGAAATTTGAATTTCAAATTTAAAACCCTCATTAATTCTTTCCTAAATTAGTTCACCACAAATAGGAAAGAGATTTAATTGAGGTCCAATCTATTTTGAATTCAAATTCAAATCCCTCTCTTCTCTTCCCCCATTTGGAAACTTTCCTAAATTAATTAAAATCTGACATTCAAAATCATTTTTGGATTAATTCCCTAGGCCCCACTAATTAATCAATTTCCCCCCTTTTTTCCTCCTTGCATGCCCGGCCACCCCACATAGCTGTTTCTCTCTCCACTTGCCATCTAAACCTCCATTAATTAGCCTATTAATTCCCCCCCTAATAGTTGCCCCCCTCTCTAACCTAATTTAGGGAGATTTTAATGGCAAATAATCTCTCCCTCCAATCCAAGAAAATCTGAAATTCAAGTTCAGATTTTCTCCAAACAAGATCTCCCTCCCAATCCCTCTCCCTAGCTCACGGCAAACTCCTCCTTCTTTCTTTTTCTTCTTCCCATTCGATCCCATTATGAATGGCGGATCCAGAATTTGAAGGTGGACTCGTATTCGACGCCTACGGAAATATCCACGTTCTCAGATCTCCGTTCTTCGACTTGGGGTTTGATCACGAAGACACAGTTGGGGATTACTTGGATCGAATCCTCCCCACGCTTGTGCACGTCATCCACGGCCAATTTCAAGATTACGTTTGGACAATCACCGGACGCCATCCACTACCACCTCCACCGGCGGCTACCTCTCCGGTAACGAAGTCTTTCGTCTCCTTCTCCTTAGTGGTGCTCTCCATCCTTGTATGGTTCTTTCTCCTCCGCTAAAAGCCAAGAGTAAATGAGTGAGAAGGTGCTCGAGGTGAATTTTCTCATTATTAAGCGTATGATTTTGTTATGAGCATTTAAGTATTTCTTTTATCATTGGATGTTTTTTTTTTTTTTTTTGAATTGTTTGGTTATCTCAAAGCATTACTTCGCCTAAGCAAGTTGATTACCTAGAATTTATTTAATCCTCTATTTTGTTGGTGATAACTTTGTGGTGGTAATGCTTTACTTAATTGTCATTTTAATTTCCGCAAGCAACTCCTAATTGATTCACATCACAAATGTTCTTGAAAATATTTGATATAGTATTTGTTTTAGGTTAATAATTGCTATCAAATGCAATTTTCTTAAGAGCTAATAGATTAGGGTGTATACCACTATGCTTGTAATATCAAATACTAGAGTGGTATACCAAACTACCATTACATTCATATATTTAGACTGGTACACAGTAATAATAACACAATATTTCTCTTACAAAATTGAATTCCCTCATTTGCTTTATCCTAATTTGATTTATAGTGGTGCTACTGTGTACATTGTCTGCCGCAACAAGGAGAAGGGAGAGGCTGCACTCTCAAAGATTCAATCAACTACCGGCAACAAAAATATACATCTAGAGGTGCTGCTTCATGACTCTGTTTTCTTTTCTTGCATGATAGTCCTTGTGTCAAATATCGTAGGTTTAGCAGCATTGCTTGCTGAGCTAACAAACTTTAGAAAAAAATTTAGTTTGTATATTCTGACTAAAATTTGGTGGGGATGGGCTTTAAAGTCTTTGAATTTGCTTTAAGATGAGCGCAATATAAATTTTGATTGATTATTCATGTATTGCACTCATCTCAAAGTAAATCCTTTTTTATCCAAATATTTTCCGCAGTCTTTCTTTGATGATTTCAAATACTAATATTTCTCATTGCAGATCTGTGATCTTTCTTCTATCAGTGAAGTCAAGTCGTTCGCATCTAGATTTTCTTCAGAAAACAAACCACTTCATGTTTTAGTAAGTTTTACTGATTAATTATCTTATCAGTTACACTCATTAAAGATGTCAATTGAACGTTTAATGTACTTCGGGAATGTTTCCTGGCTTCTATTATCCTTATATTGATGTGCAAATAAATAGATTGTTTAATTGGAAATTTTTGAATTTAAGGTTAACAATGCTGGATTACTTGAGCATAACAGAGTTACTACATCTGAAGGGTGAGTTACATTTCAAAATGTATTACAAGCTTTGATGCTCAATTATTTCTGCCTATAAAATCAGCATATCAGAGTTCAAAGATGACTCCAATGGTCCAAAATGCATCCTTTTCTTTGTAGAGTTGAAGTTTTATCATTAGAAAAGCTGACAAATTATATATATATCATGTTCTGACAGGTTGGAGCTAAATTTTGCGGTTAATGTAGCAGCAACTTTTGCTATGACTGAACTAATGAGGCCTTTGCTGGAGAAAGCTGCACCTGATGCTCGAGTTATAACAGTTTCTTCTGGTGGAATGTACATGGCTCCTCTGTCCACGGATTTGCAGGTGCTTCCGAATATGGTTATTTTCTTTTGCTGAATAGCTTAGAATTTCGATGGTAGACTGGCCAGTAAAAAATCTTTTGTTGAATATTGTGTTTCACATATAACACATACTCACGTATACAAAGTACTATAAAATTGCTAGCTGTCATTTTTTTAATAATTGCAGGTATTGATAAACCATAGTTCTTGAAGAAAATTGTCATTGGCACTTATATTCTTGAATAAATAGCATTTTTTATTTAGGAGGTGTTTATTAGAGTTAAAAGTTGATGTAGGGTATTTGCATGCGATGTTTGTTCTTTGATGTTTGGGTTGAAACAATATTTTAAAGTCAATAATTAATTTTCTTGACAAATCTCAAGTAAATGCATTAAAATTGGCTATATTTACTTTGCAAGCATTTACTTGACATTGTATTCTTAATACACTAAACAAAATAAGAAGGTTGTGAAAACCGGATTGGAATCGAACTGGAAAAAGAGAGGTTTAAGGTTCAATGGTTCGAATGGGATTGACTGGATGATGCAATAAATATTAAATTTATTTAAGTAAAAATTAAATGATATAATAATTATGCAATAATATAAATTTGTAATTGAAAAATAAATATAATTCACATATAAACTTAGAAATTAATATAAATTATTGTTAAGTTATAGGGATTTTTACATACCTAACACTTAAAATTTCTCTATTTACTTATCTAACACCAAGACTTTAATATTTACCCTTATACCACCTAAAAGCCCTATCACTCATCAAATATAGCACTCCATTTCTCTCCTGTCAAAACCAAACCCCAAAAGCTGTATTTCGCGAAGAAAATGAATTTGGGAGTATTACTTTAGACTTGTTTATGTAACTTTTCTTGTTTGTATGTGACAAGAGGTCACATGGGGTGATAAAATTATGTGGGGATGTTTTGTTGGTGTTTGATTGATAAGTAATTATTATAAATATTAATGCTTATTATTGAAATTAAATATATTAAATTTAAACTAATTTATTAAATTTAATATTTTATACAAAATGTATTAAATTAATTACTTTAATTATTTAAATAGGAAAGTAATTTAATTCTTTTCTGAAATAAATATTATTTTCTTGTTTTTTGATTGGTTCCACGCAAAGCCGGTCTTTTATGTGAACCGAACCGGCCATCAAATGAATCTATTGATACATTGTTTTTTCCTTTTTTTCAACAATTAATCTTCCAATGGCAGTTACTATTATTTATCATAGAGCTTAAGTTGCTTAGTTATCATGTCATGTAAATGATAAAATTTCAGTGTTTTTTTTTTTCCATTTCAGTCATATTTCATAGTATAAACCTCTATGATAAATAATACCCAAATTTTCTTAAAGATTTAGCTTAATATCTGATGTGCTAACATTCTTCGTTTGTTACAGTATAGTGAGCCAAAATTTGATGGAATGACACAATATACGAGGAATAAGAGGATTCAGGTTTGAAATATAACTCAATATGTCTATTTGAGATGTCATCAGTTTGCTTAATGTTGTAAATAAAATCATCTTAGTTTATTATCTTTCGAGCATGAATAATTTTATTGGCATACTGTTATGGAGCTTTGAAAGCAGCCGCCCTTTTTTAGATGCGCAACTTTGTATGGGCTGGCTGATTACTATAATATTTCACAATAGAAAAAATTTCTCGTTTTTCCTGCAGTTTGACACATTATAAGATGAACCCAATCAAAATTCTGAATCTGCTCCTATTTGCAATAATAATAACCTTAAAGTCAAGTCATTCTTACTATTGGCTGACAACTACATCTCATTGTTCAATTCTTTTGAATAATTGGATCTTTTTCTTGATTCTTCCACTCATAAAAATATGCCGTAAGAATAACTTTGCTATCAACATAGCTCATAGCCCAATACAATATGATTGTATCAAATATGTGGAGGCAGATACACATTTCATAAAAGAGAAAGTAGAGAGTGAGTTGTTTGCACTCTATATATAGCAACAGGGAATTAACTTGCTGACATATTTATCAAATGCTCTTCAACCCCACGTTCAAGAATGTTGTAAACAAAATTGGAATGGTAGATTAATATTATTCAGTTTGAGAGTGAGTGTTGAAGAATGTGCTCTGCCTAACCAAGTTTTCACTCTAGGTAAAATAGCTGTGGTTCTCACCATGCAGTCAATCATGGATGATCTATTGAGCACATGTATTAAGGAGCTTAGCCATTGGATCTTTGCTCACTTAACCCTTAGATTGCAATCCATGTGCTCCTCTTCCAGCCCCTAGCTGCCAAGTGCCGACCCTCTTTTTTTGGGTTATTTATTTATTTTTGCAATTCAAAATTTTTATTTTTCTATTTTGCTACACTATTATTTTTACCGATCATTATGTCAGGTGCATATGATGGCTTCAAAAATCTCCTGATTATGCTATTTTCATGAGTTTTATAGCTTTAGTGGAAAAATGGCTTTATTGCAAATCACTTTGTGCTCCAATAGTGGTGGTGAATATCTAGCTCTATACGTCTACCATACAAACAAACAGAATTGATACTCCGAAAGTTGTCATCGACACATTTTCTAAAATGAAATATCTCTTTCTTGTTTTGCGGGTTCATTCAATTTTCCTATTGGACTTATGCTTTTATTTCATCAATATATCTCATAAACTATTTATCCACCCTTACACTTCATTACTCTTCTCCGTAAGAATAGCTCTTTGGCTCGCTTCCCCAACAATTCCACACTTTGTGTTTGCTTGGCTCTAATACCCATGACTTCACTAACTTGAATATCGCTCCAAACCTTGTCCTCCTTAACTACTTGTCACTCAAACTATTTCTACCTTGATTCTACCACATCCAAAATCTATCTCTACTTTTGAATCTAGTTCATTGTTTTGCAACATCTTTGAAGAAATAGCCTACTTGAGTTGTCCTCCTGTCTTCCCATACTCCTTTATATTAATCCACCATCCACAACATCTCCCTTGGTAACACCATTATATACAACCTCCATACCAAATCAACCACAACAAAATTCCCCACCTCCCTCCACTGTTAACCCAGGGCCCTCCTTCCATCAAAACAACCAACTTGCCACCCTCCCGCCTAACAAAACTTGCTAAATAACCTCTTGAACCAAATATAACATTTACAAACCAATCCAAATACTCACTCTTGCAACCAAAATAAACCAATCACTTGACATTGTACCTATCATTGTAACCTAAGCTTTGCTTCATTCATAATTGGCGTAGAATCATATTGAATGTATTCGATGCTCTTGTTCGGAATGGAACATGGGAACCACCTTGAACCTACCCTCTCTAATTAAAATCTAGTTGTTGCAAGTGAATTTTTTGAATAAAACATAACCCTGATGGCTCTATTGATAGTCACAAAGCTTTTTTGGTGGCTATAAGCTTTCAATGGCAACTAGGAGTTGACTGTCATCATACCTTTAATCCAGCTTTTATGCTTGTCACCATACGACTTTTTCTTAACGTAGCTAGTAATTGACCTTATTCTCTTCATAGTAAATGTCAATAATGCTTTTCTCCATATCAAGTATCACAAGTTGTTTTAACTAGTTTCTAATCGGTTTTCTCTATTATCCTCAAGAAAATCATACTTGTTACTACTGTATTTCATTTCATCATTCTTTTCTTACAAATTCATGTATTTTTGTACCTTTCACTGTGTGAATTTTAATGAAATTTTTATTTTCTTCTTTAACTATTTCCCAGTTCTTCTGTCCCTTATCTGATATGGTATCAAAGCAAGCCCCTCTATTATTTCCCTCTTGATTCTAGGCGTCTGCTCTTTCTTCATCACGGATTCGCCATCTATCTCCTTCTCCGATAAAGGATTGAACAAAGAAGATCCTCTTAGCCCATTCTACCTTCATCATTCCAACAATCCTGACATCATGCTCCTATATTAGTTTTGACAGGAGAAAACTATGCCTCTGGGAGTTGTGTGGTGTTAATAGCTCTTTCGACCAATAATAAGGTCGATGCCATCGATAGTTCCATCAAACGACCATAAGGTAGAGATTCCAACCTAATCAATTCCTAGATCCAGGATAATAATCTTGTAATTTCATGAATAGTTCGATATTAGAGAAACTTTAGCTAGCCTTTTGTATTCCAAAACAGCATAGGACATTTGGATTGATCTTACATATTGTTTCCAACAAAATAATGGGCCTAAGATTTTTCATCTCCACTGTAAATTGATAAATCTAAGGCAATAACAATTTTCGGTGGATTTGTATTACACAAAAATAAAAACCCTATGCGAGGAATTAAATAACTATCATCTTTTTTGTTCTTGCGGAAATTGCACGATTGGTGGAGTCAAGCAACAAGCTCCACATTATTAAATGGATTATGTAATGTCATTGCTTATGGGACTCAATGAGTTTTGCTCAAATTTGTGGTTAGTTCTTGCTTAGGGATCCACCTTCTATTAGCAAAGTATCCTCCCTTCTTTCCCAAGAGGAACACCAAAGAAGTTTAGGACAACAACTGTGCATAGGAAGTAGCATAGATAGAGCGGTATTTTAAGTAAAAAAATCAAATGCTAATGAGGTTGTCTTTTCTATCAAATTCTTTGACACTATAAATTCAACATATCGATACAACAAATCATACAAGAAACAGATTGACCTTATTGTATCTACTGTAAATATCTCAATCACACAAGAGAGTGGTGCTATAAACTACATGATCTCGCCCTCTAATGAAAATTGCGTTTTCCTTAAAAATAGTTAAAATGTGAGGTATTTATTTTAATAAAATGAATCTTTGTTATGTTTGTCCAAAAGCTAAACAACATAGATCATCTTTTCCTTCTCATAATCATATATCATACCTTTTTTTTAAAAAAAAAATTGATGCATTATGATATGTGGGGTAAAGGCTTGATGTTGTTGTTGTTGTTGTATTATGATATGTGGGGTCCTTATAGCACCCCAGTACACTTGGGGCATAAGTATTTTCTAACCTTAGTTGCTGATCACACTATATTTATATGGGTATATCTTCTTAAATATAAATTAGAGGTTATACACACCATCCCAAAATGTATTACTATGATAAATACTCAATTCAAAAGCGCTATTAAAATTTTTTGATTTGATAAAATAATGTAGAGTTAGAATTTATAAAATTATTTAACAAACTTAGTATTATGCAAAAGATTTCTTATGTAGATTGTACAAGTGTATTATCTAATGATTTGCTTATATTTGGCATAATGGATTTGACAACCATTTGACAAAAAAAATTGCATTTTCTTCAAAAATAGTTAAAAAATGTGAGATATTTGATTTTAATAAAATGAATCTTTGTTATGCTTGTCCAAAAGTTAAAGAACATAGATCATTTTTTCGTCTCATAATCATATATCAACAAAAAAATTGATTTGATGCATTGTGATATATGAAATCCTATAGTAGCTCAACACACACGGGTGATTAATATTTTTTAACCTTGATTAATGATCACGCCATATTAACATGGTTATATCTTTTTAAATATAAATAAAAGATTATACACACCATTCTGAATACTTAATTCAAAAGCATGATTAATAATTTTTTTATCTTAAAATGATAAAAAAGTTAGAATTTACAATATTATTTGGTACACTTAGAATTCTGCATCAACTTTCTTATGTATTCAAATTGTAAGAAGTAGTAAAAGAGTTGTTCCAAACGAAGCCTTAGTGAGAATTTACAATCATTCAAACTTATCAACTGCATTTATGGGTAGACTTTCTATGATTCAAACATGTGACCTGCTGTCGACATTTTGGACACCTTAACCACCCTCACAAACTCACCCTCCTCTTCCTTCCAGGTAGCATTAACCGAAAAATGGTCGCAAATTTACGACGATAAAGGGATCGGATTCTATTCAATGCACCCAGGTTGGGCTCAAACACCTGGTGTAGCTAAGAGTTTGCCCACCTTCTCCGACAAGTACCTTCTGCTACTCTTTACCTACTGCTTCTCCATCTGTAAGCCATTAAACCCCCTTTCTCTCCAACTGAAACTCTCTTGCAGGTTATCTGGGATGCTTAGAACAAGTGAAGAGGGAGCAGACACAGTTGTTTGGTTGGCATTGCAACCCAAGGAGAAATTGGTTTCAGGAGCTTTCTATTTCGATCGAGCCGAAGCACCAAAGCATCTTGCACTTGCAGGGACATGGAGTTCTCATTCACTAATTGACACCATTGTTGACAATCTTAGATCTATATGCAGTTTGCCTTCATCAACTGAAGCTCCTGCAAATCAATAAAAGATAGGCAGTTTGTAAGGTTTGTATGTTTTTTTTCCAGTAATAAAACAGATCTATCTATATGTAGCCTGTCTTCATCAACTGAAATTTATGTAAAATGGTAAATATATGAAGGTCTTGCTTTTGCTTTGCATGAATTGTTTGCAGTTAATATGGAGGATTTTTGCATTTTATATGCTTCGTTTGGGACGGCTTTCTTACCGCTTCTTAAAGCAGCTTTGTAATACAAAAACTATAATTAAGCGATAAGAAAGCAGTCCCAAATGAAGCCATTTCTACCGGTTGACTCTTTAAAGTTTAAATTACATATATATTAAATTTCGAAATAGTCTTTCAACTGTTCATATATGATCATTTTAGTACTAGAGTATCACGTTGCCTCAATTTAGACTCTCGCTTATACAAAATTGATCCAAAATATTTCATTTGGGACTAAATTCAGATCAATTTTATAAAATCGAGTGACTAAGACTTTGTTTGGGACAGCTTTTTTAATTTTTTTTTAAACTATTTTTAGTACAAAATGTTTTTGAACTACAAATTTTTTATTAAAAAGTTACTTTAAGAAACTGTAAAAGTATTTTTTTGAAATGAAATTTAAATTAAGATCAATTTATATTACAATTACAACATGTGGGATTATTTTAGATAGATTAAATTTATCTTATATTAATAATTTAAGGATTATTTTAAATTTTTTTGATATGATATATAAAGAAGCATAAAAGTATAAGAAATAACATAAAAAAGGAAATCCACCTTGTCTAATTATTTTCAAGAATTAAAAAATTAACTCCAATCAATATGATTATTGTCTTTTACACAAAATAAAGCTGCAAGTAATAAAATTTAAAAATGCACCAGCCGGGAATCGAACCCGGGTCTGTACCGTGGCAGGGTACTATTCTACCACTAGACCACTGGTGCTTTACGAAAATTCAGCTCTTTAGATATTATAAAGGTAGTGTTGTAGTAAATATTATTTAATTTTTACAAATTTATATATATGTAACGTTTAAAATCTGATATTTATTTATTTAATCTTTCAATATTTAAATAATGTTTAATATATTACTAAGAATATATTATAAAATTTATATATTATATATATTTAGAATTATATGATATATATTTATCTTTTTATTTTTTTTATTTCGATGTTGAATAAGCCCCTTAGCTCGATAAGGTTTGTGATTTAGTTTATATTTTATTATTTAATGGTATTTGTGTAATTTATGAAATTTTATTTTATATTAATTTTTTAAAAAAATTCAATAATTTTAAAATACATAATAATTATAATCATTTATTCCATATAAGAGTGTGGATTTCTACTCCAAAGTGATGAAAAATAAATCAGAAAATATAAAAGTTAAATTCAGGAGTTAAAAAAAAACCTGCTTCAATTATGATAACACAGATCCTCTCACATACCGAAATATTTTTTTAATATTTAGATTTTATTTTGGACATTTTTCTTATTTCTTTCTAAAATAGTTTTATAGTTAAAAATTTTTAGTTTAAAAAGTTTTATATTAAAAATATATTTCAGAAAGAAACAAGAAAGCTGTCCCAAACGAAATCTTAATTCAAAACTATAAGAAAAAAATTGGGAATGAGAACGTCCAAATTAAATCATTTTCATGAGCCAAAATTATTTAATTGGGATTAAATTTTTACCAATTTTTAAGTTTAGAGAACCAACATAAAAATATTATTTTTGATGAATTTTAATTTTTATCAAAATTTTAATTCAGAAAAACTATTGCAAAGAAAATTTAATACAATTCATTAATTAAAAAAAAAAAATCTTAGAATGTGTATGACACTCATAAGACATCTCTTATATACCAAACAAAGGGCGAATTATTACATCCGCTTACCGGATGTCCGGACACCCAATTCAGACGCGCCACATCACCCGAATACACTGGATTTCGGTGTATTTTGGTGACGTGGCGTGTCTGGATTGGTGTCAGGACGAATCCGAACACCAGACGTAATAATTTGCCCAAACAAAGCTAATAGATACTATTCCATCTACAAATCTAAATTACAGAACTTTTTAAGAAAAACAAATAAATAACTCTCTTATTTCTGCATATATGTTTGCAAAAAAAAAAAAAAAATTATTTAACTAAACAAAAATATAACAGCTTGAAACAAGCCAAAGACTTATTAGAATACATAAAGCTGTATTTTATTCACAATCAGATAGAGATGAAAGGGGAAGAAAAATCAAACAAGCACCCATCACACTGAAGATATAAGAGTGTTACATTACAGGGCAAGAACACATACAAGCAGTTATCTACACGTGTGAATCATCATCAGCTTTGTTCAGCAAAGAGGCTTTGATTCCAAAAATGGAAGGTTTCTTCAACCAGTACTGCTGAAACCTTTGCCTGGCATACTCCATGTAGTCAAAATCAATCTCATTCACTTTTTCCTGCATCCAAACAAATCCATTTAGGGGAAAAAATAATATATAATCTTCATTAGATTTGATTAAAATGGTTTTAAAGTAATAGATTTGCTTTGAAATGATTGTAATACATCTGATCAATCAGTTCTTATATAATACTTATCTTAGGCTTCGTTTAGGACGGCTTTCTTACTGCTTCTTAAAATAACTTTTTAATTATACTAAAAAGCTGCTTTAAGAAACAGTAAAAAAGCCGTCCCAAACGAAACCTTAGAGGAAATATAAGGGTTTTACAACTTATTAGTTCACGTGATCGAAATTTAGGCTTTGTTTGGGACGGCTTTTTTGTATTAGAAAGCAGCTTTACGAAGCAGAAAAAAAATTGTCCCAAACGAAGTCTTAATTAGGATTATCTTATAGAAAAATTGTTAGTATGTGAGGACCATAAAATATCAAATTTCGAGAAAGTACCGAAATTATGCCCCATAGGCCCCAAAGTAAATGACTTGCAAGTGTATATTGCTCTATCGAGTCAAGTAAATTCTCAAGCTCCTCTTTGGTTGGCTCTTCACCTTGGAAATTGGAGGTAAAAGTATTTTAGGCAACCATGTTGACAGAGATATGAAAGAAAATATAATTTGGATTAGGAGGATAGATCTTAAAGCCATTAGATCTATCCTAGAGCAAATAGAATAATTTAAAAGACTTGTGCTCGCCAAAAAATTAATCCTCTAAAATAAAATGCTGAAGTCGTGAGGAAAGCTTACCTGCAGATTTCAGATATATCTCAACAAATTTTTTGCGTTCTTCAACGTCTGTAAATGAAAGCATACAAAGTAAGAGAAGAAATTACTTAAAAATTTGTAACAATGAAGGAAATATTTAGGGCATCTCCAACCGAACTCCAAACGCTTGGATGGCGTCGCTCGTGAGCTCTAGCTGAACGGTAAAACTTCCACTATTTGGTTGCGGGTGAATAGTGGGACTCCAATATTGGAGTCCCACTGTTCATCTTCGCTATTTTTCTGTCTCTATCGAACTTGCCGAATAAACGCGCGAAAGAAAGAAAGACCGTTACATTCGCAAAAGGGGGCAAAATGGAGTTTGATTGGAGATGAAGCACGGCATTTTTTAGTTTCAAGGCATTTTGGAGTGAAAAATAAAATTTTTGGTTGGAGATGGCCTTAGCAACAATTATCTACCTGGGTATTTAGAGTAGTCAAGGACATGAGGGGTGTCTGTATGGTAATCAGCAGCCATTTCACAAAAGTGATTAGCAATATCATATGGGACAGGGTTGAAGCCAGCGTACTCGTAATCCTACAAAAAAAACATCATAGAGTAGAAATATTATATTTAGCAAAGGGATTATGATAGGAAACACTTGTAGATCTCAGGTATTTCCTATCAATCTTCGGTGAACAACGAGAATTCTCCACAAAAATCCCCACAAAACCATGAAAAGATTAGATAATTTGTATTATATGATGAAATAGAAACGGAAAATCACAAGATGCAGTTGATCCTCAATTCGAGAGGAGGATCAATCTCTCCCAAATTTTTAGACGCCGCTAGAGCACAAAAAAGCCTAAACCAAGAGATCTCAAATTCAGCCCAAATTCAAGATGCCCTAACCCTAGAAAAACAAACTATTTACTGAATATAATTTAAAAGGAAATCTCTAAACATTCCCTACATTCAAATTTCCCTCCAAAATCTCTAAAAAATCTTTCCTAAACAGCTTTTTTGGAATCGGCAGGTCTTTTGGTGTGTCAAGGAGATGGAACTTCCACCTGTTTCGTTTGTAAGCCGGTCCCATATAGACCGGCTGGACTGGTCTAACAGATTACTTTGTTGGGTTGTAAATAATGACCACAGAAGGGTGGGCGTGATAGTTGGAAGTTGGAGGTCTTATTAAGAAGAAAACTAGCTATTGCTGAAGGGGGTGCTGATTGGCGAGATGGTCAGACATAACAAGCGGCAGGCTTTTCTCTACCTTCGGTGCGCATGGCCAATGAAGGAACTATGCTAAACTTTGAAGAAATAATAAGACAAAGAAAGGAAAATAAACTGGTGAAATAAAAATTAGGAAAATATTTGAGGGTAAATATTTGTATCTTTGTTTTATCTCTAGACTAGTTGATATTTATCTTTTCTTATTATGGTTAGGGATATATGTGAATCTCATCGAACCATATAAACTCTATTATATTATTTTATATATATATTACTTGAAATTATTTTTTACACAAGCATAATCATCATTACTCTTTGGTGGGGTGCGCCCGTTTTCCCAAAATCCAATTGTTAATTGGATACAGGATCAAATAGGACTTATGGTGAGTACCTACTTGTCGTCATCCCTAGTTGCAAGCCAATAGTGGACATATTAGTAATTGTGCAGATAAATATGCATACTTTGGTTCAAAATCCTGGATAGATTAACTAGCTTAAACATCCTGGTGTAAAATATGACATTTTTTCTCTGTTTGTTCTTCCAGTAGAATGATTCTATGTTTTTTATCAGCAATGTCTGAATAGTGAAAGCCTTCGACAAAGCCAAGAAATTGATTAACACCAAGAACAAAAATAATACATTTGCATTTGTCAATGAAAGGATGGACAAAAAAGAAACTCATATTTACTAGCATAAATTGTGTTAAGAGTATAAGAACTCACAATTATAGTTATCTGTCTTGTCTCCTCATCCATCATAATGTTGCCATACTGAAGATCATTATGGCAAAATCCTCTCCTTTGACCATCCCTTGACAATAATTTCTCCACAGTATTAATCTCCTCATCCAAAGTATCCAAATGAAATTCTTCAATTTCTTGAGAAGAACACAAGCCCTTAGCTGTTTTGAGCCAGTTTCTGAAGGGAACAGATAATTGGATGTGGTTAATCTAACATCTGAGTAAAAATGGTTAGCTAAGAGCAGCATAGAGTTGGATGATACCTTAGTCTATCCCACAAATTTACTTTCTTTGAACCAGGCATATCAAGATCATGAAACTCCCTAAGTTTGGATGCTAGAAGAGCAGATATTTCTGGGTCTCGCAGGTCGGCTGCGGAGAGAGTCTGGATATTACAAAATCAGAAGATAAGTTCAAAACAAATTTACAACAATTTAACATCATATCAAGATAAAACCAGATTGCCAAGTTGCCAGACATGTATGACCTGAAGGCATACTTCCAAATTATTAATTTTAAGAGATTCTAGATCCAACCACCCAAACACAACATTGTAGCAGGTAGGCTTTAGTACAACATGTTAGTAAATAAAATATGCTCAAATGCCTAAAATTCAAGGCCAGTTAAACCAAATAAAATCTGTCAACTAAAATATTACCAACTTTGGAAGCTTAATTGTTTTATTTGGTCGCAAGAACAAAAACGTATAACAAGTAAAGGTATATCTGGTGAATCATACAAAGCAAAGCATCCACAAACAGAAATATGGGAAATATGCGGAATATGGGGAAATAAGTATCATGTCCTAAGCCAAGCTTTTTCCTATAGTCCTCTTCAGTTAAAAATCCGAAACATGTATTACCATTTTAAAACCCCAAAAGACCTCAAAAAGAGAATAAGTAGCAGAAAACTTCAACTTAAGCCATTCCCTGAAAGTAGAAGAAAACGAGGAAGGGGAAACAAAAACTGAGATTCTAACTTCCAAGGGGCATCAGATTTGTTTGCAGGAAACAGAATTACAAAAAGACAACTTGTTCATTTCAGGGAATCTAAGAATTATAAAGGAAACAAAAAATTCATCCCAGGTTTATCAAGAACAGAAGTCCATGAGCACTGCAGTTTTTTAGAATATCAACATAATAAAAGAATACTTCATCAAATTCAGCATACCCTAGCATGAACAAACTCCTCCATGCGTCATTTGAAAGCATTAGCATCCCATCCAATTTAGAAGATATAAAAAATTGGAAAAAATATGACCGTTGCAATCTTATATGCCTGCCTACATTGTAATATGATCATAGAACTGATATGCAAACAAGCGTGAAAGTTTTGGCAGGCTATCGCTATCTGTAGAATTAATGATGAAATTGTTGTGAGAAACCGTTACAAAAGCATAGTAACTAAGTTTGTGAAAAAACTCATTCTCAGCATAAATATTTTGTAAAAGTTCGAGATAAGTGACAATGACCTTTTATTTTGGGTGAAGTGATTATGACTGAGATGAAAACTTTTTGAGAGTCAAGTAAAAGATAAGTCTAACGACGAAGAAATTATTGTGTGCGGATATCAGACATCTGATAGAGAAAGTCGTCCGATTTTCTCTCTGTCTACAATAAAAATGCATTCAAAGCGCAACCGCTAATAATTGCACTTTGATTATAGACAGAGAAAAATCCGAATGATTCTATTTGTACGATATCCCCACGCCTATTAATTTGCCCTAACAATGATAATAAAATACAGCAAGCAGCTTGTGTGAGTTTATCTTTAATAGGCTAAAAAAAAAGAATAATAAAATACAGCCTCAAAATACAAAAATACCATTTTAAATCCCAGCGCCTTGAAAGTTACATGTAAAATAAAGCTTTGAAGTTATCCTAAACTGTAATAAATAGCAAAGAGCCAAAAGTATGCTGAGTGCCGACCAAAAGTATTAATTATAAACGAAAATATTATTTTATTCCATTAAAGATCACGTTCCTCATTTTCAAGTGACAAAGTAAAATAAAGCTTTTAAAAAGTCAACTTAGATTCACCCTACTGTAAGCAAAGAGCCAAAAGTATTAAATATCCCGTTAAAGATAACATTTTTACCATTTTAAACACCCCGCTGCACCTTCCTGGAAAATAGTTGGAGGGGAACGAAACAAAATACTCGTTCAACTAAGTTACTCAGTGAAATAGATCCAGTTAGCCAAAAGAAAAGAGGAACCAGCCAGGACTTTAGCAGGTTTAGATGTTAAAAGGAATCACGAAATGATCAATAAAAGCGCAGAAGAAATCTTCAAAACACAAAGATCTACCATACCCGAGCATGAATAAACTCCTCCACGCGTCCATTCGTGAACCTCCCGAGCAATCGTGGCCCCTGCCCGTGCCTCGAAACAAATTCAAACGTCCGGATCTCATCAGCCCTATCAAAGAACACATCCACCCCTTCCCCATAGATCCTAACCAAAACCTTCCTCTCCCTCCTCCCCTCCACCCTCCAATTAATCTGAAACACCTCGTTCGTCATTGCCCCCTTGAGCTGCACCACCTCCAAAGCCCGCGAATCCACCACATCGCTCCATTCCGATGCCAGCGAGTGAAGAATCCTCCTCGCCTCCTTCGGAATCCGATCCTCCACTTCAATTGCGCTGCCAACCTCCACCGCCACCATCACCGAGAACCTAGAAACCCTAACTTTCGAGACGTAGATGAGGGATTGAAGGCGAAAGGGGAACTGGATTGATGGACGGCGAGAGGTTGAGTGGTGCGAGGTAAGAAATTGGATTGAGAGACAGCGACGAAGATAAGAGGCCGTCGGCAAAATTTTCCGGCAATCTGATTTTCTTTCAGGTCAGTGAAGCGGCGCGAAATGTTTAACGGTGGGAGGGGTATTTATAGGAAAGGTCGAGAGGGACAAACCGTGTTGGCGCCGTGGCGAGGTTTTTTGGTAAATTATATCTTCACCTGATTTAGTTGCACCAAGAAATGCACCAATGGAACACCTGCCTACGTCTTATGGGTGATGAATAATTATATATTTTATTTATTTTCTTTTAGAAGTATGCCCAAAAGTTTAGGACTAATTATTCTATGCTCATATTTTATGGTGAGAACCGTCCGAATTTGTTACATTTTTATTGTTATTTTGCAGTGTTTTTACAAAAAGCAGTAAAAAGATAATAAATATTTAATATTTATTAAAAATTTGAATATTTGTTAGTCTTTTGCAAAAGGGCAGCAAAATGCATTCACAATTGAATATTTGCAGCAAAAGGACAGTAAATCCTGACAATTCTTTCAGTACGATGTACACATTGAATAATTTCTTAAATTGTAGATAGGCTTGTCAATAAATTACTCTACATCTGGATACTATCTAAAAAATTTGGATTCAAGTTGACTCGTTTAATAAATTGATATAATTTAGAAGATTTTTCTTAGAACTTGGGCAATTGCATTGTTAAAGGTGGACAGAATAGTTAAAATGTTTATTCTTCTAAGAAAAAAAAAAAGACTTTAGGGATGAGTTTTTCTTGGTTCCACCCATGATCTTGAAAATCTATATCTCAGAGCTAGTTCAGTGGTGTAAAGTGTGTATTAACGAGTGTGCATGAGCAAGTCTATTTAGCTAGATTTGAGCTTTGAGGCGCCTGTAACTAGTAGACGCTTGAAGTCAGTGGTTGTTAGAGCTTTAGATCTCTTAGGGAGGAGGGTGATTGAGCTTGAGTTGTGGGGAAGAAGATGAGCTCCATGGTTCGATGGTTGCGATAGGGAGAACTGAGAGCCCCTCATATAGGTGTTTTCCCATAATTGAGGTGGTAAGCATGAATGATGTTACCTTGCTGTGGAAAATGAAGAGTAGCTCTAACGATTGATCCTCCTTTATGAGGCGAGAGGCAAGTCGTATGATCCACGATGACCCTTGATTGTTCTTGTGAGGGGTGACTTCCCTCTATGCTTCTTGACAGGTGGGTCCGATGATTCTTGGGTGAGCTCCATTGTGAGGCCTGCTAGATGCAAACACCATTATGATGGAGATATTATTATGTGCGGTCACCGAATAGTCTGGAGATCAATCAGGACGCACCACGTCACTTGGTACACAGTGATATCAAGCACTGGTACCAAGCAAAAAAGTGACGTGACGCATTTTGATTGATCTCCGGATGTCGTCCTAGGTCCACACAGAATAATTTTTCCTTATGATAACCCTCCAACTACTTAATTGCTAGATATATGAAAGCATATATGAACATGTAAAACTATATTTTGTTTTTAATATCATGAGTTTGTAACATTTTGTTGAGAATATAAATCTATTTTTTATTTAAATCTTTGATATAAATTATTTCATAATTTACTGAAAATAACAAATAAATATATAAAAATATATAATTTTAAAATTATTAAAAGAAAATAAAGATATAATTTTGCATCTCAAAACTTATTCATTATAATATTTGGTTTAAAAAACTATCAAAGATAATAAAAAATATTCAAATGTGGTCAGCACCGACCACTTCCATTCTTCACCAATGCTTTATATTTTGACCGATGAGAATAATTAGAGCCAAGAAAAGGAGCTCTGTTCACAAGAAAGTCAGATACTTTAGGTGTGAGCCTCTCTTTCCATTTGCTTTCCCACTAATTGTTAACTTACTCCGGCGGTAAACTTACCAATGCAAGATTAATCCCACTACCGCGCACAACTCTCCTTGGCCTATTGGTTGAGAGCCTAGGCTTCCAACTAAGAGGTCCAGGGTTTGAGTCTATGTGTATGCATTGTGTGTGTGAGTTTGCCTTAAATGGCCTAAATGTCCAAAAAAAAATCTCACTACCGCACATGGCCCTCTGTGCCTGGCAGACGCACGTTCTCCTTAAAATCTTGCAGAGCCGTTAGAATAATGCAAAGACAGAGAAATGGATTTCAGCTTCTTCTCTTTTCTATTTTTCGAATGAACAGTGCACATGTATATATGTTAATTCATGCTGTAACTAACATGTGATAACGGCTCTGCAGGATTTTAAGGAGAACGCGCGTCTGCCAGGCACAGAGGGCCATGTGTGGTAGTGGGATTAATCTTGCATTGGTAAACTTACTGCCGGAGTAAGTTAACACTAGCATCTCTAATTTATGCAATTAATGAGGTATATGTGGGTGAACAAGATGGGAGGATTGAAACCTTAGTAAGAGAAATCAAGGATATGTTCTTATCGTTGGGAGATGGTGAAATAAGCCCATCAGCCTATGACACAGCATGGATTGCAAGAATTCCATCAGTGAATGATCCAAACAAACCACAATTTCCAACAACACTTCAATGGATCCTTAAGAACCAACTAAATGATGGCTCATGGGGGGAGCCTAGTTTCTTCTCTTTATATGATAGGCTTGTTTGTACTCTATTATGTGTTCTTACTCTCACATTATGGAAACAAGGAGATGAACTCATAGCGAATGATAACATTCATTAACACTATATTTCATAGTAATTTTCTTGTTTTACATTAACATAAAAATGAGCTACTCAGTTGTTATGAATGACAAATAACAATATCATGCATAAATGAAAACATACAAATAAACATGATAACATGCAATATATGTTGGCTTCTATTCAACATGTGTGCATAACGACATATAAGTTTAATTAAGGTGATATTTTTGTAATTTAGTAAATTTTTAATGAAATATTATTCTCGTAAAACTTATAACAAATATTAAAGGTTGAAATTCATTATATCTTGTTACTCTCATCCTTAAAAATAAAATAGAAGGATATATCTCACTTTTGGAACAAGTTGTCTATTTAACTTCATGGGTCCATGTGATGCAACCATAAAAAATATATTTTCATTTAAAATGTAACTTATTTGTATCAATTCTAATTTTTGTTTCTTAGTTCATATCTATGTGGTGGTTTCTATATGAACTCAATGTCCCTAGCTAGCATTTTAAATATTTTATAATTAGCACTAGTTCTTTATTGTAATGTTTTGACTCAACCCATTGAAATTCAAATCAACACATCTAAAGTTCATATTCAAGTTAACAACAATGAAAATTTGAACGGATATTCTTTTAGCAATTTCTCCCTATTTATTATTATTTATATTAATATTTATACAATTATATTGTTATTTTTTAAAATTTAAAATCTGGCATATCTGCAAAATTTGAAGAAGCTGGAGGTGTTGATTTGATAGTTGTATATAATTCTGGGCGATTCCGCATGGCCGGAAGAGGTTCTTTGGCAGGGCTATTACCTTTTGCTGATGCAAATGCAGTTTTACTTGACATGGCTAATGAAGTGCTGCCTGTAAGTTCATATACCGTTTTAGAATGTGGAAGTATGAAATATATTAAATTTTGCAAAATTACGTAGAAAGGAAAGAAGAAAAAGAAGAAACTTTCAGCATTGCCAAACTATTCCAGATCAGTTCTTGCTGGAGTGTGTGCCACTGATCCATTTCGTCGAATGGACTATTTTCTGAAGCAGCTAGAAGCAACTGGATTTTCTGGGGTTAAGAATTTTCCAACGGTTGGACTGTTTGATGGTAATTTCCTCCAAAATCTGGAAGAAACAGGAATGGGCTATGGGTAAGTGGTTTCAGAATTATCTTTTCCTTCACAGTTATATGTTATTATTTCAATTATTGGACTAAAAAAAAAAAACTTATCTAGATTGGAGACCGAGATGATCAACAAAGCTCATAGATTTGGTCTTTTAACAACTCCTTATGCATTCAACGAAGATGAAGCTACTTGGATGGCAAAGGCTGGTGCTAATATTATTGTTGCGCACATGGGTCTTACTACTGCTGGATCAATTGGTGCAAAAACTTATCTTACATTGGAGGAAAGTGTCAACCGTGTTCAAGCCATTGCAGATGCTACTGTTGCCATAAATCCTCATGTTATTATTCTCTGCCATGGAGGTAAACTTCTAACCATGCGCTTATAAATTGAACTAGCTGTTCTTTGCATTGTTTAATATTGCATGCAAAATGCTTGAATAAGAGAGGATTAGCAAGCGAAATTTTTATCACAGAGGTAATAGGCGTGTGTTTGGTGAACGCAAGAATCTTTAATAACTGATGAATAAATTTAGACCATGATAAGACAATGTCATGTAATCTATTCAGAGATTTATGCACATATCATATCGCTTAAAAGCTTCCTTATTTATAAAACTGATAACTAGATCTTTAAAATCAAAACCTTAGTGTATTTGTGCATCCTAAAATTAAGTCATTAAGAATTTAATACTACAACAACAACAAAAAGCCTCTATCCCATTATGTGGAATCGGTCTTTTTTCTTCATCGTGTTCTGTTAAGAACCAACTTCTCATCTAAATATATTAAAGAAAGGTCATTTCTAATATTTTCTAACCAAGTCTTTTTGGTTCTACCTCTACCTTTTCTAACTTAAGTCAAATCTAATACATCTACATTCCTAAACGAGTCATCAGAAGGCCACCGTTTTATGTGACCAAACCATCTAAAGTCTCTCTCTCTCTCTCTCTCTCTCTCTCTCTCTAATCTTATCTTCCACTAGAGCTACTCCAACATTTTCACGTATATGCTCATTTCAATTCCTGTTTCTAAAAGTAAAATCTCTCATCCACTTGCATTCTCATCTCTACAAAACTTAATATTATGCTTCTTTTTTAATGCCCAACATTCTGCACCATAAAGCATTGTAAGTCTCACCACCATCTTATAAATTTCGCTTAAGTTTGAGGGGGATTTTTCTACACACAACAAGCCTGATTCTTTCCCCACTTCAACCATCCAACTTAAATTCTACTAATAATATCCCCATCTATTTCAACATCACTCTACACAATAGATCTAACATATCTAAAATGTGTACTCTTATTAATGACTTGATGACTCAAACTCACAATCCTCTCACTAGGCCTATGATTATTAAAATTACACTCCATATATTCAATTTTAGATCTACTCAAATGAAAGCCTTTAGGACTCTAAGGTTGACCTCCATAATTCAAGTTTACCTTCATCTCTAGTCTTATCAACAAGAAGAATATCATTAATAAAAAGCATACACCAGGGTACAAACTCTTGCATTTGTTTAGTGAGACATCCATGACTAGAGCGAAAAGATATGGGCTTAAGCCCGGTCCTTGATGTAATCCAACTGAAATAGAAAAATATTTGTCCAAACCACCTTGTTGAACACAAGTAATGGGTCTTGCCCGTAGAACATGCTATGACAGACACAGTCAAGGAGTACAAAATCCATATCCATAAAGAGAGACTAATACATAATCCAGCAGTATGCATCTCTTCGAGCTGAATTTATACAAATAATTAGCTCCAATTAGTACAAATCCATGCTATTACATTTCCCATCATTAGAAAACATAAGCTCTCTTTAGAAGAAGAAAAATGCATTCCTGTTTTCATTTTTAAAAATGTACGTCGTAAGATCAATTTAAGAAAGAAAAAAAAAATCTCATAATCCATTCCACACATAAACATCCCACTGGTAAAGCAAAATTCTCTCAATTTTCAAAATTCCTCAACAAGGTTTATAATAATAATACTAAGACACATGAAACTCGTAGGCAGACAAACAAAAACCCAAGGCTCGTTCGTCTCCTCTCACTGCCACTCCCTTCAATAAATAGCATAAAAAAAATAAAAAAACTATCCTAAGAAAGACCTAAAATACAAAAACCTGCGAAGCATTTTTAATTAATATGCCTGCTTCCCCTGGAGGATAACTCACTGAACATCCATCTGTATTCTGCATCGAAAATTTTTAAAATAATAACAATAAAAATAATAAATAGAATCCAATAACATTAAAGAAAAGCAATGGAAAGCAACTGATTTTTCTAACACCTTTTTTTTATTATACTGAGAGGGCGGGCTCTACACAGCCATTTTCATCTCGATTTTGGAATGAGGATCATAACCAACAAGGGAGAAATCAGATGCAGTGAAAGAATCAATATCCTTCTTCTCAGGATTAATCTTTAGAATCTGCAATGCATTTGAGAAGCCATTGAAGATATTATAATGAAACTTTAAATAAAATTCCATGCTGATATATAGATTCTTACCGGAAATGGTTTAGGTTGCTTTTGAATCTGCTCTCGCAATGGCCTTACATGAGTCCTATAAACATGAGCATCTCCAATGTGGTGAGTAAAATCCCCAGGAACGAGATCTGCTCATTGAAATAAACAACAAAGAGTGGTAAAGAAATTACATTCAAAAAAATTGAAATTGCTAAAACATTTATTTAATCAATGTTGAATTTTTGTAAACCTCTGAAGGGCAAAGAGCTAAGCATCTTCACTACACGAACCCTATTACTTACTTATTACCATTGGTCTGAATGAAAATGAAATGCTTAAAATTGTCTTAAAAACTATTGAGCATGATGAGAAGAGATAATTTTAACAAAGTCATCAAAGGATAAACTCTTGGGGAAAAACCAAAAGATTTTCAAGAATAAAAAAAAAAGAGCTATACATAAGGAGTTGGCTAAGAGAATTACCACAAACTTGAGCAATCATATATGTTAGGAGTGAGTATGAAGCAATGTTGAATGGCACACCGAGACCCATATCTGCAGAACGCTGGTACATTTGACATGAAAGTTCTCCATCCTTCACATAAAACTGAAAAAAAAAATCAGCATCATTAGCAATAACAATCTTATACTAACCTTTTGATTCAGTTTTATGAATTCTTCTTTATATATTTATTCTTGCTACGAATTGAATTTATTTGAGTTCTAAGTTGGATCAATCTTTTGATTAACTTTTATCCATTCTTATAACTATTTCACATAAACAACATCCTTTTTTTCATATTCATATTCATGTACTCAATTAAAACATAAAAGGGTGTTGAATCCAATTTTTTCAATGAGCATTAATCTGACCTTACTTGCGATATTGAAAACAAAAAGTAAATGGATGCGTGTGTGTGTTTGGGGGGGAGAACACAATAATAAATACCAATAAATAGTTCTATGTTAAACATGTCCTTTAGCCCCCTATTTATAAGTGCGAGTAGACACAAGACTATATTAAAAAGATTAAAAAAAATAAATATATGATTTCATGATATGACATAATAAAATCTTGGCATTAAAAAATATCAATTATATCTCATTACTAACATAAACTTCCTATAAAGCTTCCTATATAAGAAATGAACTCACATATAACACTTATTAGTCTGATATGATCTAATTGACCAGTGAGATTAACATCATTTAACCAGTTGGGTTGACTTGAGCTCAGTATGAGCAATTTGGTGCATACATATGCCAGGCTATATCATTATTTCATTCTCAAAAGGTTTTGTTCCATTAAAAAGAAAAAATCATATTAATCATTAAATTTGTTAATTTTCACGCTAGAATGACACAATGCAATAATAAAGAAGAGTAAAGAGCTATACATTATTTACTTGGTGACTTCAAGCTTGAGGCAAGAAAAAAAATTGTGTTTGGGTCCTTTGGGATGGTTGGAGTAGCTCTAGTGGAAGATAAGATTAGAGAAAGTTGTCTTAGATGATTTGGTTCACATAAAACAGCAGCCTTACGAAGCCCGTTTAGGAGAGTAGATGTATTAGATTTGACTTATGTTAAAAAAGTTAGAGGTAGAACCAATTTGAAAATCGGACCGGACAATGAACCGGAAGGAAAGGTTCATGGTTTGACCTGTTCGACCGGTTGAACCGGAGTCGAACCGGATGACGTAATAAATAATAATATTATTAAAAATTATAAAATGAATGAAAAATTTTCATCTAATGCATTCACTATACAATATACATTTCATTTTCATATCAAAATAATCAAATAATACGTCTAAATTTTCCTCTTCAAAATACATCAAATCCTTCATTTCAGCAGTGAATTGCTGTAGCTTCAATGTCTGATTCCTACTTAAAAAATCTGCATCCAGCAATACAACAGATTCCTTACCATGAACTAGCTTTTCTAACTTGATATTTCTAAACACCACAGGCAAATAACCAAGGCTGAAGTTAATTAATCTAAACGACAGAAGATGAAGGGTTTGTTTTAGAGCTGGTAACTACGCTTCTGATGCCGGAGCAAAACATCAGTGCTGGTTTCCTCCGAGTTATTTTATTCATCTCTATAAAATAGTAGACAAATCCGACTATAGACCACATGACAGCAATTGCGAAAAATATCACTCATTTCTCTAGAAATCAACTTAGGTGAGAAAATAATAAAACAAATCAGGGGATGAAAAACTACCATATTGTGCTCTCTCGCATGTTCCAAAAAATATCTTCAATGCATCTCATTCTCTAAACTGAGAAAAATAACTAAAGTAAAAGCAGATCAAAGGAAAGATATATCCAAAAATATCACAACAAATATGAGGTAGATGTAGAAGAACAAAGGCAGAAAATCACTAATGCAAAAAAATGAAAAAAGAGTTGAAATATTAGAAAAAAACAAAAATGTTCAACATAGAAAATAGAGAGGGGGATATCTAGAACACTAACGAGATGAACTATTATTGAAGCCGAAATCTCCTATGCTTCTTTGTCTTCTGCAGTTGCTACACACAAATCCGAGCACCAATAGAGAAGCTGCAGCGACGAAGGAGGAGCAGAGGAGAGGAGCGGCTTCGGGAGTTACGGCCTTACGGGAGTAGGAGAAAAAGAAGCTAGGTTTTACAGTTTTACTTCACATACTTATTTACTTATTTCTCAAAAACCGCACGATTGAAATCCAACGACTGAAGATGCGTCTAAGTTTAACGGGGCGGTTCGAGTCCGGTTTCCAGTTCGCCCGTTTCACGGTCCGACCGGTTCAAATCCGGTTTCCTGCTTTGCCGGTTTTGGTGTTAAAACGAACCGGCCGGCCGGGTACTGGTTCAACCGGTTAAACCGGCCGGTCCAGTCCGATTTTTAAAACGTTGAGTAGAACTAAAAAGATTTGGTTAGAAAATATTAGAAATGATATTTTTTATTAGATTTAAATGAGAATTTAACTCTTAACATGACACAATGGAGAAAAATGATTCATGTAGCTGACCCTAAGTAGTGATATAAAGGCTTGTGTGTTGTTGTTGTAGATGTTTCAAGGTGAATTTTTAAATGAAACTCAAGTATTATTGAAACTCACAAGTTTTAAAAGAAACTTTGCTAAAGCCAACGATTAGTCATTAATGCTCTAAAATTCTATCACTATTGACCCACTAAATTTCATGTGTACTGTAACTTGACACTACTAGTGTATCATGTTTATTGAAAAATAATATCATTACAAAAGAAGATTATATATTTTGAAAAAATATGCATTTATTCTCCATTAATTATATTGATTCATGACTTCACTTTCTTTATAGTATATTCATGTTATATGCTTACAAATAGAAATATTTATTTAAAAAATAATATCATTAAATTATCTCATCACAATATGGGATTAGAGTAGGTCTCAGCAAGCCTGCTACATTTAACAAAGGGAAGATGTTATGCTCAAACAGATCAGGAGTTTGAAGTAAAAACAGTAGTAAAAGTTCACTTCAAAGACAATTTATCTGAGCTCTATGCCATTCCAAAAAAGAAAAAAAAATCGATAAACAAAGTAAAAATACATAAAAAACAATAAAAAATATATTTATGAAGAAAACTAACTTGAGAGAACATGTGACAAGGCGGAAGAGCCATTTCTTTGAGATCAAAAGGATTCCAAGCTGATAGAACAATCTGTTCATCATCTGGTTTTTTCTTTATCTTTTCAATAACATCTAAGAGCTGGTCAAACCCTTTCCCAGAATAATCCGCATGCATGTCAACATATCTGTTAAAACACTGTCATCATCAACAACATTTTTAAGTTTAAGAAGAAAGCACAAGACGATCTATAATATTTTGGCTTACTTGGCGCCTAAGTGTCTCCACTGAAAGCCATAGATAGGTCCTAAGTCACCTTCTTCCCTATGAGCTAAACCAACACTAAAAAAGAAAAATAATTGAAAAAAATGCAACCACAGCACATTTTTGGAAGAAGAAACTATTAGTGAAGCAAGTATGATATAAGATTAAAAAAAAAACCTATCAAGATAATCTCTTGAAGCATTCCCATCCCATATGCGTATTCCCCTTGCCTGAAGAACCTATTCACATGAAGATACATTTCTTTTCTTAAAAAACACAGATAAGCCTCACATAAACATCTAAAAAGAATAACTGAAGTCAGGTCATGCCGAAGAGTGTCACTAGTCATCATTTACAGGCTGAATTCTGAATGACACAATCCTATGATGAATATGAAAAATTATAGGAATGGTAATTGGAACACTGAATTCAAATGAGATGTTCATTAAATATCATGGAAAACAAAAAAAAACTATTAGGGGAATATAGTACCTTGGCATTTGTCGATCCACTTATAAACCATAACAATTCTTCAACAACACCTCGCCAAAATACTCTCTGTGAAACCATTTCTAACAAATCAACATTGCCCATAAGAGAAAAACCCTATCATGTGCGATTTCTATGTCATACAGTAAAACATTATTAAGCAAAATATGTATACAAAAAGAGGGGAAAAAAAAAACTTTGACATTGCAGGTTAAAACAAATGAAAGCTAGCCAATTAGATTATGCCGTATCTAGCTACTAAGCAGATGGTGTTCCTTTTCAGAGCATGGGAGTTGAAACATCACACTTCATCATGATTAGATGTAACTGAGAGGTGATTATTTGTAAAGAGATATGCTTATCAAAAGTCTTAGGATAAATCAAACCTATAATCATAATTATTAAAAAAATAATATTTTAAATGAATTCATTATACAAAAATCTTTTTTTTTTTCGCTTGAAAATTCTATTCAACAACAAAGTTGAATGGAAGATGGTTAACAAAAAAAATATTTTATTTTTCTTGATGAAATAAAACTAAACTCATTAATTGATTTTATTGATTTGTATAGTTGAAATCACTTCATGTTTTGACTAAATTTTAACAAAAACAATGAATAGGAATCACATGCCACAATTCACATAAATTCAAGATCTTAAAGGGTGATTTAGTTACAACATCAAAGCTAGTGCTACTTATCTTTCAGTTGCTTATACCTTGTAATAACAATTTTCTTAAGTTAGCAAAATAGTACCTTGGTGGTAAGAAGTGGAAAAGATCTTCTCAAATTGAATCGCATCTGGAGAGGAAAAAAAAACATAAGAGCAATATTTTTTAGGGGTGGGGGATTTGTGATGAACAATCAAAAGCGATTAAATAACATAAATAAAATGTCATATAACTACCTGACAACCGAACTTTGATAGTGTCCCTGTCTCTGTCCTATCAATTTTCATAGCACCATGCGATATGATATCTTCCACAAGCCTAAGGTAACTGTACTCCTCATGCTGCTCAAATATCATTTTAGGAAGAAACGAGAATTGTTGGATTTCAATCTTATCCTTGCAAGAATTTCCATTAGTTGCTTGAAAATCATACTGAATCTGAGATTGACTAGACTGACTCCTCACACGTACATATGTCACAAAAGAATATCTAATGTTGTTCTCTACCAATGGAAACGATGAGAACCAAGGCTGAAACACTGAAACATCAACTGCTGGGATGAATGTGTCACATTCAATACTTGCTTCTATATCTGTGAGATGGATGGCATCACATTCGGGTGCATTCAGCACATCCCTGCAACAAAGTCAAAAACATTCATTCCCTTACAACTAAAAATCTTAAAACAACAAAGAGCTCACCTCAGTATGTGGCCACCACCAATCACAAATACTTTCTCAGTGGAGAAACAATAAGGGGAGGAAGCTAATAGATCTAAGGCAGAGCTCATGCTGCTGCATGTAATAACATTCTCCACTGTGGAAATATCAAAGCTTTCAGAACGAGTTAATACAATATTCAAGCGACCTGGCAAAGGTCTTTTCTCATTAGGAATACTTTCCCATGTCCTCCGACCCATAATCACTGCATTCTTTTTTGCAGGATTTGACGTACTCATTGTGAGCTCCTTGAAAAATTTGAGATCAGATGGAAGTTTCCATGGCAACTTACCATCTTTACCTATGCCCATTTCCCTAGTAGCAGCAACAACAACTTCAAAAGTCCTTGGAGGATCATTTTTTGCAATGCCATTAGGTATGTTTCCAAGTATCTTATCCGCCATCAAAGCAGCACTGTGACAATATTGACAGCTTGAAATGCTTCTGAATGTTTCAACTACGGCAGAATGCCTCTTCTGTATAAAACCAAGGACAGAACTATTTATGAAAATGATAAAACATGAACTTGAAAGATTAAAAAAAAAAAAGAGATGAATTAACCATGAGAATTGAAAATCAGAATACTAAATTATTTAACATTGAATTAAGTAAATTCTGAGAAGGAAAAAATCGTAAAAGTGCAGCTGATGTCACATGCTAGGAAAAAGAAGCATGTTAAAGGGAACATATGTGTTTTGAACCACCTTGAAAGGAATGATCCCTGGGTTGAATATCCTGAACGTCAACATCTGAACCAAAGACTAAATACAATCAAACAAGCATGATAAAAAGAACAATGCCACCGTAACAAATTCACCAAAAGCTCAATTTGCTGGATAGAACCAAAACAAGTTGAACTAGAAAGGGCCAACAGGATATAACATGATGAAGTTTCCAGAAAAGAAAAAAAAAACTGAAAGGATTGTAAATGCCTCTATAACATATATATCAAAATCCTCGCTTAACAGCGGATAACAATGGAAACAACCAGTTTTAAATTAGCTAAATTCCACTCTTAAAAAATTGTTTTAGCAAATGTGATTGTAAGAAACCTTTTTAATGATGTTTCAATAATAATGAAAATGTTTCAAGATTTTGTCATTTTTGTGTGTTAAGAATTCTAAGCAGAAGAAAAAGAAGCAGCTTTGGATAAGGATTATTGTAGGATTTAGGCATGATTTAGCTTAAATACTGCCAAATAGCAAAATGAAAACTATAAACCCTGCAGAAAATTAAATCCCGTTCCTTCTCCGTTTTCCCTTAAATCCCAGATTTAGTCAACCCTGTAGTGTCGTGGATTTAAGGGATTTACCTTCGTGGGAAGCTCCCGTCGTGACTTCCGATCCAACAGGAAGAACGTCCTCGAAGGAACTTACGGTAAATCAAAGCCGCGGATGACGGAAAATTCCCTCTAAATGCCGGATTTACGAAATTCTTTGGTTCGGCGGATTTACGGGATTTGCTCGAAGAAGCGCGCGAAAGGGAAAAAGTTACCTTCACAGCAAGCCTGCACGATTTATTAGTAAAAATTTTAATTGTTTCAAAATAATTAATAGGATTAAATGATTTAAATGAAAATAATCATTATAAAATATTATAAATAATAATTAAATAACTAATTACTATTAAAAAAATGTAATAAATATGGTGGAAACCAAGAGGACAATAGTGTGCACAATCCATCAACCTAGCATTGACATTTTTGAATAATTTGACGAGGTAAGCATTAATATAGAATGAATAAACTTCAATTATTTCCATTAAGATTAGAACTATCTAAAAAACGGCATAACCCAAAGCATCAAATTACCATGTTAAATGTGATTTTAAAGAGAGGAAATTATCCTAACCATGTCATAATTAAAGTTTTATTATAAGGAGTTTATTTTCATGACTTAAGTTCATGACATTTATAACTACATCATGATGTGCTTTTTTCTATTCATAATTACAGCTCCTTTTGTTGAAATTGGGAGGAAAACAAATATATTTTGGGCCTTTGGGTCACCATTCCTTCAACATCATTAGTTATTTTGAGGTAATGCCACATAAGATGTTCTTAAATCTTATGTTAATTTCACAATTTTGATCTAACATGTTTATATATATTTATAACTTTTGCAGGGGATTGAAGGAATCCGAAAAATAAAAGATGGCTATAATCCTGCAACATGGATGTTAGAAGTTACCACAATAGCTCAGGAACATATATTAGAAGCTGATTTTAGTGAGATATACAAGAACTCAAAATTGCATGAGTAAGTTAGAATGAGCTTGAGACCATGTAATCTTTCATATATATAATTCCTAACATAAAAATCATTATAGGAAGAATAAAGCAATTATTGCAGAATTAAGCATACCACCTGCTGGATCTGATGATCTTCATTTTTCAACACAATACCCACAAATGTTTCATACCCAATGCATTGCTTGTCTCTGGAAGCAACACTTGTCATATTGGAGGAATCCTCCCTATACCGCTCTGAGGTTTCTCTTCACAATTTTGATAGCCTTGTTATTCGGGACAATATTATGGGATCTTGGCAGTAAAAGGTATATTTCTGCTTAATTCATTTAATTCTTACTCAAATAACTATATCATGCTGTATAAATTTTTTACATGGTTGTAGGTCAAAGCAACAAGATTTGATCAATGTAATGGGCTCCATGTACTGTGCTGCTTTATTTTTAGTAGTCTTCTATTCTAATGGGGTTCAACCAACTATGGCTATTGAGCGTAAGGTCTTCTATAGAGAGAGAGCAAGTGGAATGTATTCAGCAATGCCATATGCATTTGGACAAGTAATAATAATTTGATAATTTCCTATTTTTAGTATATATATATATATATATATACATTGAAACTTAACAACAATATTGTTAATTTGTACGTACATTCAGGTTGTAGTTGAGCAACCTTACATCTTGACTCAATCACTACTATATACCGTCATAGTTTTTTTAATGATCGGATTTGAATGGACAGTAGCAAAAGTTTTTTGGTACATGTTCTTCATTTATTCGCCTTTGTCTTGCTATACATACTATGGCATGATGACCGTCGGTTTAACCCCCAACCAAAGCATAGCAGCAATAGTAGCTGCAGCATTTTACAGCATTTGGAATATTTATTCAGGGTTTCTCATCCCAAGGACGGTAATTGAAATTTATTTTTTTAATTGTGACTTCTAAATTAATTTATCAAATATGCATCTCTTTATTTATGTTAAATAATTTGTTCATCTTATAGAGAATTTCTATGTGGTGTAAATTGTACTACTGGGCAAGTCTGTTGGCATGGACACTCTACAGATTGATTTCTTCTCAATATGGCGATGATAACAATTTTCTTGACACGAACGAAACTGTGGCTGAATTTGTTAAGAGCTACTTTGGATACAGGCATGATTACCTAGGGGTTGTTGCAGTTGTTTTCATATTATTTGCAAGTTTCTTTGCTATTATGCTCGGAGTTGCAATCAAATTTCTGAACTATCAAGCAAAATAAGTTTCTTACAATACATGTAAAATGAAATTCTACATGAAATTTAAGCATTGAATCCTTATTTATATAGGAACCACTATTAAATCTCCTCTGTTATGACATGTACTTTTTCTATGTAGTTTGATTCATTTAGAAGAAAAAAATGTTTCACCAAGTAATCTATTTTTTATGCTTAAAAAGGCATTAGTTACTACAATGCATCAAATTGAGTTTGATTTTACCTACTTTGTAAGCTTGGAATATAATGAAGCCCATACATTATTCCTCTCTCATCAGGGCTTAGTGTGCAGAAGACATTTGCATTTTAAGTCTTATATGAGTTGTATCAGCAATCATGAGTTGCCTTTTCAAGGAGAACTTAGAGACCATAGGTAGAAGATAGTGCCAACAAAACTCATTTTATCTATACCTCAACTAATAAAGATATTTCTGATCTATTAGATGTACCAAATGACTCGGACTCATTAGCATGACCATGAAGAAGCAGATTGGGCTTTGAAAACTTAATTGATCAACATGATTTAGTAGCACATATCAAGCATGACCATTCAGGTCCAAGGTATTTGCTTCCCGAAGATTCAATAATTATATTTGGTATCTAATGACAAGCTGTAAATTTCAAAATTATTAGATACAAATTGTATAAAAGGGCATTTATGAGATAATATCTCAAGTGTCTTCCTCTATTAGTGATCAATTATATGCTTTAAGAAGTCCATTCTAGGATAAATAGAGAACATGCAAGAAGCAAAGCATTGGTTCAGAAGAAGTAGAAAGAAGATCGAAACAAAATAATAGGGGATAGGGAGAAGAGCTTAGAAACCCTTAGTTTTTTTTAATTAAAGAGAAGAAAGATACAGGTGCAAAGGAAACCGTGGAGGGAAGAAGCCCATACATTTATTATTAAATTTATGATTTACATGCAACTCATACTTAATTATTTTTTATTAATAATTGTTAATTAGATTATATTCGTGGACCTCCGAAAGGACGCTGCTTAGCTGCGGAGTGTAGAGGGGTATACGACCGCACCACCCCGAGGGATAGAGATGATCGCAGGCCTCCGCGCTCCTCGCAAACGGGTCAATGGAAGGGTAGATTAGATCGCACATATGACTAACCATTAAGGATAGTGGCTCTCACGAACGCACCCCGATGAGTAGTAATATACACGACCTGACCGTAACAACGGGTTTCCCCCGCTCTAGTGGGGTTTAGTTGTTGTGGAATTTTGTTTCCCACGGACGCAAGCCCCCGTGGTTAATTACATCTCGAGCCTAGGGCCCGAGAAAACTCTCGATTAAGAATCCAATATTATTCTTCCCAAAAAGGGATTAGCACACAAAAGGGAGACTAGGAAGTTCCTACTCAAAAGAAAAGGAATGGTTCAAGTGGCTTAGTCAACATGCACGGCTCACATCCACACTCGAAGGGACTGAGGTTGTTGATGAGGGAAAGAAAATCATGCACTCAAAAAATACAGAGAGAGAGGATAGAAGTGGCGTCATCTACGCGACGTAGATAAATAAGATTTATAGTCACTGAAGAGAAGGGACCAACCCACTATTTAGGCATACTACGAGGCACCCGATGTAGTAGCCTTGAACCCTAAATCTAAGATGAGTTTAGTATTTTTTTGACTTAGAGTATTATCGATTTTATTGATTAGTTATTAATGGATTAAGACATAAATCATAGAAAAATATGTCACTAAGTTTTCTATGTTTTAAAGTCTCTATCCTAAAAGGAACATGCACCCTAAGTTTAGGTTATCTAATACTCGGTCTTTAATTTTTGTCCTTAGGTGTCACTATAGTTATGGGACGAAAAAGATGTGCTTCTAACCCTGTACATGTGTTTATAAGTTTAGGGATCTAAAATAAAAGAAAGTAATCCTAGTTATAAAAAAATGAAGTTTCTATAGAGTCCTAAAGGGTAAGGAGCGTACAACCATGAGGGTCCCTAAATTTTTTTTTAAGTTTAAGGAGACTTACTACACCGGGGGCTATGACCCGGTGGTTCCGCCCGTAGCGCCCCCACCAGACTGAATGGGGGCGACTGATGCTCGGATATGACTGTCCATACTCCTTCGTCTAGTGCTCCAATGCTCCTTGTCCTTTGCTCTCCAAAAGAAGCACCACACAAAACCTTTATGTTATTTGCACGTCAGGTGGGCCACTTGCCTTCTCTTTGGATTTTCTTATTTTTGTGAGTACTTCTACCACATCTATCTCAAAACACAAGTTAGAAAGAAAAATAAGAAAGGCAAGAACCCAGAAAAAAGACGATAAAATGCAACAAAAGAGAGGAATAAAAATAAAAAAATAAAAGAAATGTAGACATTTTTATTGTTGGGCATACTTCTTTGAAGTCAAGTGTGCCTCTAAAATAATATTCTCCCCAATTCAATGTGATACGAATATGGAAGAATGTGTTTTTAATGCATTTGTTGTCCCCATATTCAACCAAAGCACTTGATACATTTAACACAACTAACTAAGCTATTATCTAAATAAAGCTCAAAGTGACAAATGGGAACAAGTTCCCAAAACCAAATCTCAAAATAAGCCTTCATTCCACATTTATCAAAAAACCCACTTTTAGAAGCAAACACTAGTAAAAGGAAGTCAATTCAAATAAGAAAGATCATTCGTTTCAAAAAGATATTAAAGAGACCTTGCTACACAAAGTTCATTATAAGATTATAAATCCCAAAATGTCTTAATGAAAACTTCTAAATGAAACGACATAAAAAACCTTACATAAATCACACACCCAAAACTCTTTTTGACACAAAAAAACAATCAAGTGCTTTCATTTATTTGGCGTGGGGTAAAAAAACCATAAACATTCTCCAATCGGAAAATATCGTAAAACTTTTCATTATAAAACATCCGCAAAATTTGATATAGAACTCCTCAGCACAAAACAACTCAAAGCTTTCGTAAAGCTTCCAACATGCTACACCTCCCAACATTCCAAAGAAACACTCCAAATAGCTACATCTCTACTCGTGCGAAGAGATATTTTAATGTAGCATGCTCCTCTCCAAAAGTATTCATAACCACAAGCAACTAAAGGAGGAAAGAAGAGATGATTTTAGAAGCTACAAATGAAGACATATATGAAATCACTTATTACACTTCCACCCAAAACCATCCTAATGAAACTATACAAATGAGAATTCAAGGCTACATTTAAATCCATATGTAAGTTCGTATTTGGAGCATATGAAAATTCTTTAATCTTTCTCCAAAAGAAAAAAAAAACTTTATTAGAGATATGTGAATACTTAACATGGTTGCTTTCCAACAGCCATTCCGCTTTCATACTACATGCCACTAAAAATTTTCAAAAGATGAAACCTTTAAATTTATGGTTCATAAACGAGAAAAGCCACAACATATTTTTTCTAAAGATACTTTATAAAAGGCTTATGAATACTCATCCTATATATATATATATAAATACTTCCAGACTTTCATCTCGAAAAATAACTTAGAGCATACGATGAACAAAAATCTATATATATCTCATTTTTAAAATAGTTTGGAGCACTAAACGAATGAAAATCTGCATCCAATCAATTCCCAAAGCAGTTTGAGGCATAAAAACAGGGAAAATCTGCATCTAACTCTTCTCCAAAACAATTTTGGAGCACAAAACAGCGAGAAATCTGCACATAACTCGTTATCGAGACAGTTTGGAACTCAAAACAGTGAAAAATATGCACCTATTTGTTTCCAAAAGCAGTTTGGAACATGAAACCAGTAAAAATCTGCAACTAACACATCTCCAAATCAATTTTAGAGCATAAAACCAGTGAGCAAAACTGCACCTAACTTGTTCTCAAATAGCTTAGAACACAAGAAACAGTAAAAATCTGCATATGACTTATTCCCAAAAAAGTTTGGAACCCAATTCACATCAAAATTTATGCAAGAAAATAAAAGAGCATCGTACTTCCTTGATACTAGCAAAGTCATGAAGCTTTTTGCGAATCAATATCTCGTATGCAGTAGTATGGTTTCTTTGAACTTGCATTTCATCATCTCTCTCAGACAAGATAAAACTACAAACCACTTCATCAGTGCTACTTCTGTAGAATCATGCCTTCCAAATTCAACCAACCACATGATCCTCATAAAAAAAACATGCAGAAGCAAATACCTTGAGGATTTAACAGAGGTGTGTTGCAAAGTTTATAAGAGAATGTCTTGTAAGTGTATATTAATCAATTTCAATAAAAAAAAAACATTTTAAGGCGTGGAATAAAATAAATGCCACTAAAGTTCAATATAAAATTTGTTTAAATATCAAAGTTCTCCTGTATCAATAGGTCAAGCATTTAACTGCTAATATTTACTTAAATAATAATTTAAACCCCTTTTTTTCAATTATTTATGTGCCATCGATGGAATAAAAGCAGTCAGATTGAAGATAAGGAAAACTTAATTATGAAAAATAAGATCTAAATAAGAAAATAGTTGACGGTTCATCATTTGATAGATTGATAATAAGAAAAGTAGGTCCAGGGAAATCCGCCCACAAACAGAAGCCATTCACAATGACAATAGTGGTAAATCACGACCACTGCTTCTCCGGTAGAAATGAACTTGAGCACAGAAAAAGAATGATACAAAGTAATACTGCACTTGGTTAACAATGTAAGCACTAATCACAGATATCTGGTAACAGAACCAATACCAGAAGTTGTCCAAGGAGAAAGTTACCTTCAACTTCAACTGATGTGACCACTAGATAAGAAAAGGCGAATCTTGAAGCTTGTCGAACACCAAATCAGTCATTACAAGATAGATATAGGTAAATTGATAACCTGAAAAAATACTATACTTGTCACATATATAAGCTTCGCTGTCACCGTGAAAGCCATATGAGCAAAGGAAACATTCATGTGAGCAAGACTACCCCACGAAACCTCAATATGAGCAAAATAATTATAACTTTCTCTTAACGGTCTTTCACCAAGCACTTGGTGTGCTATATGCAAATGGTCATACAAAACAAGCCAACATGATGATCACACCCAACCAATCTACACAAACTCCCTCATGATTCAGGTGATAATCATCTCAACAAGAAAACATATATGCATAGAAAAGAGAATTAAAGGAAATCTCATTCATCGGAATTTTTTTTTTTTTTTTTATAAGGACTTTAAACAATGCTATCCTTAATACCTCATCACTAAGATGGAGTAAGAATCAAACGTAATAGACACCAGGCCTTCACCAACTGATAATCAACTAGCACAACAAAGCTAGGCAATAAAATTCGGAATGAACACACCCTCAAGCTCACATAAATACACACTTGGAATACTTTTTTAGTGCACAGACAATCACAGAGCTAGACACAGTAATTAAATTTTGGACTCAATGGGTGAGAGTAAGAAATGGAAAAAAAGGTGGGAGAAGAAGAAGGAAGAGTGGAAGAAGGGAATTAAGAAGAAGAAGAAAACCAGGGAGAGGTGGAAAAAGGGGAAGAAGTAGGAGAAGAAGAAGAAGAAAGAAGTAGGAGAAAAGAAAGGGGAGGAAAATAAAAGTTTGGTCAGAACCGAAGAGAGACGAGAGCGCGAGCCCCAGGGATTTCGGGTGTCCGGACCTAAAATCGGAAATTATTACGTCCCGGTCAAAAATCAAATGGTCCTTAATACCAAGTGCTCAATATCAAGTTTTTGATGATGTGGCGAGTGGTTATTGGCCTCTGAACTCGTTCAATTGACCGGACATAATAATTGCTCCCGCTCAAGGGCGTCGGTCTCAGGTTGTGAAACCCCAGAGACGAAGGGAGGCTCCCGAAATCAGAGCCAACGGGCCTGAGGGGATTCCATCCTTTTGAAATCCTTCCATACATGCTCGTTGAAAAATCATTAACCAGGCTTGCATTCCTCCTCAAACCAGGAGATCAAGCCACTGAGGATGCTAAAATAGCAAGATCAAATATTTTTAATGAAATCAAGATTGTCGGATCTGATCTATTGATTCGGGATCAATTTCAAATCACGAGAAAGTCAATTGAGTCTTAATTTAAATTAGATTTGAGTTGAAATCAGGCTCGATGGAATTTAATTAATGAAATTGAACCGGAATCAATGCAAACTCTATTTGAATCGGGCTCGACGAGACTTTATTAAATCAATCAAAAAGAACCGTTGAGGGCACTCTAACGAAAATTGAGGTCAACAATATTTAAGAATTTTAAAGCCGTTTTTTTTTAAATGAAATAATCATGGTAGCTTTCTAATTACGCATCGTTAATTTTACATAAAAAAGTTTTATATTTGTCAAAGTATATTTACTATATTAGCATTAAAGATTTAATACATATATTTATAGAACAATAATTATCTTATACTATAATATATGAGCTAAAAAAAAATCAAATATTTGAATAGCAGATTGACTATGATTATCATTATTTTTCATCATAAGCGACTTTAATTGTGATGCATCATCCATTTTGACTTTAGAGAGCTCGTCTGCTAATCTCATAATAACATTGGGTGTTATATTTACACCAATCTGTATTTATTAAATAATTGTCGTTTGCAAATATTCAAGCCCCAATGTACGTGGGCTCCAAAAATTCGCGCCCCAATCTCTTCAGGGACCCCCTTCCTTTCCTTTTTTTTTTTCATTTTGTTTTCGGGTTGTCGAGGAGAGTTTTAACAAGTATGTTCATGGGTAAATTTTCAGAAGGCATATTAGATTTGAAATAAGACACTACCCAGAGATTTCACCCTCATTTTGTGAAGACTTTTTTATCTAAGTTTTGGTTTTCTATAGGCACAAACCCCTATAGTTAATTACCCCTCCCAATAATGAGACCTCCCAATAATGAGAAAGAACTTTGGATTAAGGTTGGTTGTCAAACATATACGTAGAGATACATAGTATTATAAGCATAAGCAGTTATGCGTTTTGTCCCACACACACTGTTCTGTATTTTCCTCCTCATGGTGACTCATACATATAGATATCCTGTATTGTATTCCAATAGATAATAATAATATTTTCCTCTCTTCCGCTTACCTTCTCTGTTTCGTTCAAGCCTCTCCTCCCGTCTCTTCACTCTCACATGGTATCAGACTGCCAGGATGAGGGATAACGATTCAACCTCCCTCAGCCAACCCGACTCTACTACCACCATGTCTACCGGCTCTCAAGAACTCCTCATCCCGCCGACATTGAAGTTCATTCTCTCTAACATCAAGAATCTGATTCCCTACACCCTCACCGTTGAGAACTACATGCTATGGCGGACACAAATCTATCAACACCTATCTGCAAACGGGTACGCAGACTATCTCACCGGCATTGCCGAAGCTCCTCCGGAAACTCTTTCTGCAGATCTCGCAAAATGGCGCCTCGTCGACACCAATCTCATGTCAGCCCTCTTCTCCACAATATCTCAGACAATCTTGCCTTATGTCATCAACGCCACCTCCGCCCACGAAGTTTGGACGGTTCTTGAAAAACGCCTTCAAGCATCTAGCCGCTCACGGATCCTTCAGCTCAAGAACGAGCTTCATCACATTCAGATGCAAACACTAACGATGCAGCAATATCTAGCAAAGATTAAACAGCTCGTCGACTCAATTGCTGCGTCTGGCACCAAATTAGATCCCGAAGATATTATCCTGTACACACTAAATGGTTTACCCGCCCAATACAATTCAATCAAAACCTATATACGATCATCTTCTCTTCCCGCCGATCTTGACTCCCTCTACTCGTTACTCTGCAATGAGGAGCTCCACATCAATCAAGATCTCAAGAAAGAACCGTCTCAGCTGCCAGTTGCCCTCTACACAAACAAATACAACCCCAATCGATCCAAGAACTCAAAAAGAACATCACAATACCGTAGCAACAACAACAACCGATCAACCTCAGGTACTGATCAACCCGCCACTTCAAATGCAGGACCGAACATTTCAAACAACCAACGTCCGACGTGTCAAATCTGCGGCAAATCCGGTCATACCGCTATTACATGCTGGCATCGATGCAACATGAACTACAACTCCAATCCCAACCCAACACCCCGAGCGAACCTTGCTCAATCCACGCAAGAAGGCGGTCAAAGCTGGATCTTGGATTCTGGCGCCACGACTCACATGACATCGGCTGGCACCATTCTTCAGAATTCAAATGTGTACCAAGGATCGGACTCTGTTTCAACAGCTAACGGCTCCACTATGTCCATACAAAATTATGGCCAAGGTTTGCTACCTCTTCCAAATACTCCGCGTAAGCTTCACCTCTGTCATCTTCTTCATGTTCCCGCCCTTACACACAATTTACTTTCTGTCTCCAAACTAACAAATGACAATGCGATATCAATTACGTTTGATTCTAATGGCTTTCATGTTAAGGATCTACAGGATCATCAAATCCTTCTCCATGGTCGCCTACATAATGGAGTTTATGAACTCCAGCTTGCACCCGATCGAAACCTGCGGGCTCTTCATACCACGACTCCAACACCGATTACTTGGCATGCTCGTCTCGGGCATCCTAATCATCAAATCTTTAACTTTCTTGCATCGTCTAATTCTGGTTTTAATAAAATTTCTTCAGATTTTTGTTGCATTTCTTGTCAATCGGCTAAAAGCCACAAACAGAAATTTTGTAACAGCAATTCTGAAACAAAGAAACAGTTTGAGTTGATCCACTCGGACCTATGGGGACCGGTTCCTCAATCCGAACACTCTACTTTTCGTTACTACGTAATTTTTATAGATGATTTTACTCGTTACTGTTGGATATATTTCATGAATTCAAAATCTGAAACGATTAACTGCTTTAAAAGTTTTCTCAGTCTTATTAAAACACAATTCGATTGTACACCAAAACGCTTTCGCTCAGACGGTGGAGGCGAGTTCACAAGCACTGCCTTCCTCTCCATTCTTCAAGCTCACGGCATACTTCATCAAATCAGCTGCCCTCATACCCCAGAACAAAACGGCTTAGCGGAACGTAAACATCGGCACCTCCTCGACATCACCAGAACATTGCTGCATGCGGCAAACTTACCGGACAAGTTCTGGCTCGAAGCTATCGCTACCGCCAATTACCTTATTAACCGATTACCTTCCAAACCACTATCACTCAAGTCTCCCTACCAAATGCTCTACAATGCCACACCGGATTACTCACATTTACGAACGTTCGGCTGCCTATGTTTTCCCTGGTTACAACCATACACGCATAACAAATTTGAACCGAGATCTCAACCATGTCTATTTCTCGGTTACTCACCCAACCACAAGGGATACAAATGTTTTAACTTGAGCAACAACAAAATTCACATATCCAGGCACGTGCAATTCTACGAAAACATTTTTCCGCTGCACAACAAATCAACATCGGATTCACTCAGCTCACCGTTAATCAGCTCCGTTACCCCTCCTCTTCTCCTAATGCCTACTTCCACAATCTCCACGGCAACAGATCCTTCTCATAAGACCAATTCAGATCCACCGATCACAACTGCTCCTTCTCATTCTACAAATGATCAGACTCATCAGCTTTCATCCAGCCCGGAGCCACGCCACAACTCTGCACATCCATTCCATCCTATGCAAACAAGATCAAAATCAGGGATTACAAAACCAAAGCAGCTCCTCTCTCTACTGAGCAATTCCGATCCTCTGCAAACTCCTACAACTTACAAGCAAGCATCCAAAAACAAAATCTGGCAGGATGCAATGAATAACGAATATCAAGCACTTCTCAAACAACAAACCTGGACACTTGTACAAAAACCGGCCAACAAACCGGTTATTGGATGCAAATGGACTTACAAAATCAAGCAACTTCCAAATGGCCAAATCGATAGATACAAGGCGCGACTCGTTGCACTGGGATATGCTCAAATCTTCGGTCAGAATTACAACGAGACTTTTAGTCCCGTAGCAAAAATGGTAACAATACGCTTACTCTTAAATCTTGCAATCAACCATAATTGGCCCATGCTATAGCTAGACGTCTCCAATGCGTTTCTACACGGCGACCTCCAAGACGATATATACATGAGTCAACCTCCAGGCTTCGAGGATCCTCTCCGCCCGGATGCCGTTTGTAAGCTACACAAGTCTCTCTACGGTCTCAAACAGGCGCCCCGTCAATGGTTTCAGAAACTCACAATGGTACTTCAATCAAACGGGTTCAGGTGTAGTCGTTCCGATCCATCTCTGTTTATTTTTGCAAAACTTCACATCCGAATTTACTTCTTAATCTATGTTGACGATATCATTATGACAGGAAACGATCAACAACACATTCAAATGATCCTTGCCGAACTCAGATCCGCGTTTGCCCTTAAACAATTAGGAGAAATTTCTCTTTTTCTCGGCATTCAAGTGACTCGATCTAACAAAGGATTCTTTTTATCACAGGCACATTATGCTCAGAAATTACTTGAGGAAGCCGGTCTCTCAAATTGCAAACCAGCGCCTACACCTATAGCTCCAACATCCAAACATCAACTGCCAAACACCAAACCATTTCACGATGCATTTCTCTACCGACGGCTATCAGGTG